TAGCATGTATTTTATATATATTATATAAAATAGGTAAAAAATAGGTTAAAAACTACACAAAAACGTATCTCCCCACAATTTGCTCAATTTGCTCTAAAACATGGCAATAATTTCTGAAGTGCCTACGAGTACATCTATATGACAGACTGTAGAGAAGATACCTAACATTTTAAAGAATCAAGCTCAGGTCCCAGTAACAGTTTAACTGAGGTAGCATGGAGATTGGCACAAATTAATTCAGAGTGCAAAAAAGAAAGAAAAATTAAACCCTGGCGGATTTTTTTCTACTGCTTCACCTTATTGCTTGAGGTTTCACAATTTAAGCTCATTTAAGGCTATGTCAGGTCCCCACACTACACTGCAGCATAGATATCATTCTTTATAAGCCTAGCCTTCAGTTTTAAATGCTCTATTCCATCTAGGCTATAACTAGCATTCAAAATTGAGAACTAAAGACTAAATTATAAAGGGTATGATTTTCAAAATTGTCATAAATTTACTTAAAAGCTAAGGTAAAAAAACAATACAGGTGGATGTGGCTGGTGATAGATAAATGGAGCACAAACTTCACTCTCTACTTAGTTTCTAACTGAGTGACAATCAAAATATCCACCTTTCTTGCAAAGCATGAAAAAGCTCCTGATGTTAATAGACCATTCTCAGTGCATCCTGATTTAAACAAAGGAAGAAGCAACCAGAAAGGATTTTTTTGTTTCTGAAATATAAGAATTTGTAATCTATTCCACCCTTGTAAACTGGTCTCAAGCAAAGGACACTCTGAAAACTTTTTCTAAGAATTTGAGAATAGGGAGAAAAAAGTATTTTCAAAGATGAAACAGGGCTTGCCTACCATCTTCTAATTTTAACTGTAAATTCTTACAGAATTTATCATAATTGCATGGATGATTTAAGTAACAGGAAACCAAATAACCAAAGATTTTGAGAAGTAATCAGGACCTATGCTGCCTCATCTTTTAGATATTCAAAATCAGATTTCTTAAATTAAGCTTGCTTTCAGAATATTTGTGTACAAGCACTATTTCAATATCCAAAACCTTTAAGATGTCTCACATTGCCAGTTCTGGACTTAAATGCTCTCTTATTTTTTTTAGGAGACAAAAATTAAGTGGTGTGGTAAACTGGTTCCTCCATCACCACAAGACAGAAAACATATAGCAGATCTCAAAATGACTGAATGCCTCTCCACCTCCATGCTCAAAATGGTCCAATAAAGCAGGCATCTTTATTACCTCTCCCACCAGTCCATTCTGAGGCTATCCAGCAAGGCTCAAGAGACACAAGAACAAATTAAGACTGAAGGATGAACGCCTTAGAAGGCTGAGAAAACTAAAACTGGGAACTGGTGGGTAGGAGCAAAGGTTAGGTTGGAATAAGAAATACCATTAAGCAGGCAACTAGCACAGATGGGAAAGTAGGAGAAAAACAAAAGAAACAGTACTTCCTTCCCAGTCAGTCTGTCACACTTCACAGATCATTAATCTAGATCTAAAAAATCTAGACAACTGTACCACTTAATGGAAAAGGGAGATTAAGAAGTACATGTCTACATACTCAGACAACTTTAAAACATGAATTAGAATAAAATCACTATTAGAGCTCAAAATTAGCCAGGTGCTTCTGTGGAAACTTCATACCTAGAATATCCATACTGAGGTTTCCAATTGAACTTACAGCTCTGGCAATGATTCTTACAGGGTACAACATCTGTTGTAGTCGTACAGATGCACTTAATGCTTTAGGCTAAGACACATTTAACAAGACTGAGGGATCACAGCTAGTGCTCCAGTACTGCAGTTCAAAGTAGACTCCAACGAAATTCTCACTAATTTCACTGAAGTATTTGTTTTAACATGGGACAGTTTTGTGGTCAGATGTTTTACTCAACTATCCTGAAGATTTTTATCAAATCATGTTTAAGAAGAGGATTTCATCTTACCTCTTGGATAAGAGCGTTATGTCGCAACACTTTACGTGCTTTCATGATACGGACTATAGCAGCTTGAAGATACATTTTTCTGTCTTCATCTACAGCACTTCTGGTCTGTTCCATCTCCTGCGATATAGGAAGAACAGTAATGCTTAAAATATAAGATCAATAAACACTTTGTAAGAGTATCTTGAATCTATACTTTTTACTTTATTAAAAGTGGTCAATTAATACCAAAAATGTAGGTGAAGTTCAGTTCCAGGCAAAGTACTTCCATAAATCAAGATGAAGTTAAGAGAGAGACACACCCAACCAGCATTTTTGCTACAGAGAAAGGCAGGTGGAATTTACTATAATGTATTGCGTTTGGAAGCACAAACATCTCTTGTACAACATCTTATGTCTTAGGAGATGCGGAGGGAACATGTATTATCAACACTGAAGTTAGTTTTAGTTATGAAGGACACAAAACCATAGGAAAACAGATTGGTTCTGCTGTTCCTGGAATAAGTTGCTTTTATAAACACCACCAACAAAAAAGTCTCATTAGATAAGACAAGCTAAATGTCAATCCCATTTGGTACAAGAGGAATAGCTCTTGTTTACCTTTTTCTTCCTCTTCCTAATTTGCTATTACATCTTCTCTTGCCTATATTTTAAGTACACAAAAACTTGCAGTGCTTAAGCTTTAAACTTAAAGGATTTCTTTATGGTGATGCAAATCTTACACAGGGACACTTCTATCTGCTTACACCAAACTAATACAATAAATTCACTTTTAGAAAAGTAACCTTCCTAAGCTGTTCAAGCTAGAAACACCAAAGAATACTTGCCTGTGGTGTGTCTTTCTGCATTGATGTAGTAATTTTAAATTTTGTTCGTTTACTGCTGAAGTTCATATTTAATGAAAACGTAGACTCTGTCTCTATATCTTCCTGCAATAAAGAATCTTTTTAAAAAATCAGAAATGGTACAAGAAAATTATAACAATTTCCCTTGAAAAATCACAGTTAGGGACTTGCATAAATACAAACAATTTCAGCAGATTTGTAGTTGGAAATCCTAAAATGCCACTTGAAGCCCATCAATTGTTTAAGCTGCGTTTTGACTAACCTAGAAATCAAGTCTATTTCAGAAAACACTAGAAAGAACTCTGACATACATGAATATTGTTAACAAGTCAGTATGATTAAAGCAATTTCTGTTTTAATACTTTTACAGCTACCTTAGTTGCAAACACTCTCCATTTAAACTCATTTTCTGCCTTAAGAGAAAGTAGGATTTGCATTTATTTATGGCAGAACCTCAAAAGAGTGCACTGTTGCTTTCACAACTATTACTAATTTTGCCTTCCAGAACTTAAGGAAAAACATCTAAGCATTTTGTTATGTTACAGCAGGAACAGTTGACAAACTGAAACTTCTACAGTTCCTCATCTATCTGTACATTTCGAATTTTTTCCTGTCAGAATCTCAATTCTTTTCCACACATGTAAAAGTCCATTTTTTTCAATAAATGGTAACTATTCCCTGCAGCCCAAATACCTTTACATTCAACTAACACTGATGACCTGACCATCTTTGCAGTTTCCGGGTAAGAGTCTCTACAAGCATTACCAATTTCCAGCAGAATAAAGTTACTGGGCTGCTTAGACTTTGGAATCTTGCCAAATGATGGTTGCCTCAAGCACAAATACTGTAGTAAACATAGTCAATATTTATCTAAATATATACTCAAAGCAATATTAATTCTACTTTTATATTCTGCAACAAATATTCTTTATTATAATATTTTCTAATACCCAGGCATAGTATAGAACATTTAACATAAAATGGCAAATACCAAGAGCTTTAAGAAATATAAGCTAACATTAAATTTTAGCACTACTGTGCTTACATGGTTGAGTATAAACCAAAATAAATTGTGTGTTGTGCATGAATTCAAAAAGCATGATTCTAATGAACCAACAAAGATGTTGCCAAAAGTTTCTTTCTTTTTTTTTCTCTTTCAAAAAAACCAAAAAGCAAACATTTAATGCACTGTACTTTTCTGTGCTCGGACACAGGTAAAGAGAAGTTAGTGTATTTAATTTCACTGCTTAAGCCACTAAAGTTCACTGTCTTATTAAATAAGTAAGCTGACAGACTGTCTACAGATCAGCTTTCACATTGCTGGATGGAGTGCAAGGAAAACAGAGTTACCAGAGATGCTTGAATACAATAGCCTGCAAGTTAAAGAACCAGAAAATGCAGTGGCAAATGTTAAGAGGTAAAAGGGTTGGAAAGCTGTACTGTTCACTCTTCAATGACATATGCTTAAGGAAACTGGCCAAATCTTATACGACAGACAGAAATAAATGTAAAAACTTAAATAATGGGCAACTTTCTACGATTATGAAAAATCTCATTGTTTTCTGTACTAGCTCCCAATGTTATATTTCACCCATGGTTTAACAGACATCTTCCCAGCCACTGTTCCAACCTGAGCTCATTTCTAGATTTTGGAAGCATGTCTTATGCTTCAGCCAAGCATCAGATCTTCCTTTGTGATCTCACTTTCCATTTTTTAATATTTTCCTGGTTAAAAAAAAAAGCAGCTATCAGAGCAGCTTTGGATTTCTTCTTGCAAGTAAAGCGAACAGCTTGTCTCAGTTTCTTCTGCTTGATACTGTCTGAATAACTTGGGCTTTCTGGGCTAGTTGGAGGCACATTCTGAAGTTTGTATGGTATATGCACAGGCACTTCTGTAGTGTTTCTTAATAGACATTTGTGCCCTTCGCTGTATGGGAAAAAGAGTAACTGGTTTCATGTAGGTCGTACAGAAGTACGAGGCAGAGTCAGAAAGAGAACCTGTATCAACCATTGCCTTAACCACAAACAAAGCCCAGATATTACCAGAATTCCATGAAACTCATGGAATGATAGAGTTTGGCAAATTGCAGCAAAATTCCTCTCACACAAGCTCCCCTTGCTCCCTTTCCTCCTCCCTCCTCTTTCCTGTAATGTGTCAGCAAGGAAGAACGTGGCTGCTGTTACTTTCGGTCTTTTAATCCCACAAATATTTTTTTTTTAGGATCTCTGTAAGACCCTTTGGTTTATTACTCAGGCTCCTTCTTATGATCCAGTACAACTTTGAAAGTGGTATTTTTAAAGAGTATTCCCCTCCAACAGCAGTGAGTCTAAAGCCATATGGATGAAATGCAACAGAAACAATAAAGAGTCCCAGCATTATTACCTTTTCAGCATACCATGTTGCTACAGGCATATAGAGCAAACAAAGACAGTCTACTTCCTCCTGTCTCTTTCCTTATAAATACAGATTTATAACTGTTCACAAGGGTCAAGAATACAGTTCAGGGGGAAAAAAAAGGGCAAACAGTGGAAACTTTTACATTAAAAAAAGCCCTCAATAAATAGCAGAATCACAAGACTGAGAACATGAAACTTTTTTGTATCATTACTGCATACCTTGTCTGAGTCATGGTTGATCATTTTGACATCAAGTAAGGATTTGATGGTTTTTGTTAGTTCCTTCTCATTCATTTGTGTACTATCCTGAAGCTCCTTGTAACTTACAGTTTCACTGTTGTTGAAGGCAAGCAACACTGCCATTTGGTATGTTGTGACCATGGCTACATAAGGTTTGCACAAATAATTCATTTTTACTTCACCTGTAATGATACAAGTAGTATTTTATAAACTGATGGAATGTGCTGAAAAGTCATCTGAAGCCTAACTACTAGAGCTCCTTGTCCAGTAATTCAATTCACACCTGAGTATACATTTAACACTTGGGATGGGAACGTACGAACCGATATGAATTTACACATATAGAATGTGGTATGCAATAAAAATAACTGCGATTAACTATGAATACCAGAACAGTAGTGTTTTCAAGAATGAAGGAAACCTACAGTGTTGAATTTGAATAATGCAATATAATTTATAGTAAGTAAAAAAGGAAATTCCAAATAGCCTTAATGCACTGCAATGCATAAACTTCAATTATTAATAGCTTACACAGAATCACACGATAGTGATTACAGGGAAGTTGCTCTAAAAGAAGATTTAAAAACAAAATAAAAGACTTGTTCAGTAAAATTTTTTATAATATTCTTATATTCTTTAAATTCCCTTGTAATTTAAAGAAAAAAAAGCACTGAAGAAATCTGCCTGAAAGCAGATTCAGATTTTGTGTGTGAAGATGAGTGCAAGTTAATGGCAACCTTCTACTATCAGAACTAAATTTTTATTACATTATATTGTATGCTAGTCTGGTTTTCACCTCCACGTAACATGTTGTGGTGCTCAGTCATTAAAGCCTGACACTGAAAGCACATGAAAAAGAATACGATTAACTGATTCTTACTAATCTAAGCTACAATTTTATGTATCTCTTCCAAGATGTTTTTTAACACACATTTCTACATAGCAAATATAAACATAAGTAAATATATATGTATTTACTTAGATACTTACATATCTAAGTAAAATAGTATAATACGCATTCTTAAAATTATTTAATATTCAGCTAAGGGACATGATACCACAGAAGCAATTCCAGAGTAATTTTTATTAACTCAGCAGTTCTCCAGCACTGTTTTGTAGTTACGAATGTACAACTCTAGTTTTATAAATCACAGATAACATACGCAAGTTTACAAAACATAAATTTTGGAAATACTAAGCAGCCAATATTAAATTGATTTATAATGCAAAATAAGTCAGTTGACTTTATATGCAACATAATGTTCCAAATCCAAAGTCTGCTGCCATTTGAAAAGGACTTTTAAGATATAACTGTCAGTTGTATAGTTCAGCAAAGCACTTAATTTTTACCTGTACAAAGGTAATGTAACCAAGTAAGCTTCCTTCCACTAAAATGCTGACTGTAAAATAATTCAAACTGCAAAACAAAATGAACTTCAATTAGTCACACATATAACTACTTACAATAGTTTATTACCACACTACCACCCCAGTGAAGAAATACCAATTTTATGTTTACCATATTGGATGCCAACATTGCAGATCAATTCATGACAGCATTTACTTTTATGGTAAGATGGGTGATGGAGCGAACATCAGTCATTTACTGAACTACTTGAACATATTAACATATCACTTGATGACTAAATAAAAAAGATTGTTGACACATTCATAGTCTCAAAGCATAAAATAATGTAGTTCCAAAAGCAGGAATTTAAATTAATTTCTAGGAGGTTTTAGCAATCAATCTTACTAGGTTTTATTATTCTGTTCCTTCCAATTCCATATAAAAACAAGAGTATTTTTATTTTTTCACCTTGGTGAAATCATACTATATTCCATGGCTTTGATATCATATTTAAAATCAATTCAGAAAATCTATTTTACTGATTTTTTTTTTTAACAATGTCCTTTAAAAAACATAAACTTTTAGTTAACAGGTATTTCCCTGCAGTCAGCTACACATTGACTTTCACAATGAAATCTGATCTTACATTCCTGAATGTATTTTTAGGGGGAATTCAAAAAGAGAAAACTTGAAACAGTTTTTGCGACCTTTCAATATGGGTTTCAGGCTAGACACAACTACACAGTTTGCAAACATCTCAGAATCAAGACGCGACTACAAATCCTTGAATTTCTGGTGAAACCTTCCAAAACCTATTTTCACAAAGCAGCACACATTTATGATTTAGGAAGTAGCATTTCAAAGTTGTGCTGCCACCCAAAAGCATCCTAAATATATACATACATTATATACATACATATATTAAGCATATATTACAATACATACATTAAGCATCTCCTCAAAATCAGTATTTTAAAAATCTTATATGCAAAACTAGCATTAGTAGTAATGCTAATTTCTTCCTTCTTTTTTGATTTATACATGAATTTCTTGTCATTATGAGAAATGCTACATCAGTCATTCTGGAAAGCGTTTTCTCCTGATATTTAAATTATACACACACAAATATATAGCAAAAAAGGAATATGAAAAAAAAATACCTCTAAACAAGAAAAGGCCTTAAAAATAATTTTAAAATTCTTCACTCTAAGGAAGCTTTTGGTTTTGTGCAAGTCAAAATTAGCTATGCAGTTGAAATCTGGCCCTAAAGGGCACAAATCTGGCTACTGTAAGTAAGACCACTTTCCAGAAGACTCTAGGAATGCAATTCCTAGAAGTTTTTTTCCAAGCTATATTTAGGTACATTTAAATGTAATTTTCACCAACAGAGAATAAGAGAAGGAAGGGCATAAATGACCTGTGGACTGTGGTAAGAAAAATCAAATTTACAGAGAAGCAGCAAAATCATCTTGTTCTCATATTATATGCAATCCATCCATCCTGCCATTCCTGGAAACTAGCAAGCAGTGGAAAGAGAATAAGAAAAAGCCCTAGGGAAATGAAACGAAGCACTGGATTTTGAAGAACGAATAAAGATATTCCAGAATGTCTAAAAAAACCTTTTGAGGACATGGCTTTCAGCTTACTTATTCTGTGGGCTAAACTGATGCAGAAAAGTTACTCTGACAGGAAAGAAAGGAAGAATTTCTCCAAAGACTAAAGTAGAAGTTTATGGCAACATTTGTAAAAAGCAGATTTTATTTTAACATATGTAATATAAAAGTCTGATACTTTTGCTTGTAAGGAGAAATAAAAAAATGAGGATTTTTAGTAGCATTTTAAAAGCTATGGCATTCTCTTGGATGTCCTGAAATTTGGCTGAAAATCCAACAGAAAAATTAAAATATAAATTTGACCTTATTTCTATGTATTATCCCTATAGCCAAGATGAACAAATCAAACTGCATATATTGGCAAGTGCCTGCTAAACCTTCGTTTCCTTAGTTTTAGTATTTAAGCTTTGTGGGTTTTTTTAAGGATTAAGAAATTAAGAAATTTTGCTCTCCTACTTCCTATTTGAAAGAAACAAGAAAGTGTGGCTTGCAGACTAATCCTAATGTAAGGTCTATCTACTTTTTGTCAATGAAAAAAAAACTTAGGCAGACTCAAAGAACCTTTCCTTTAAATTGGAAATTGGATCAAAATTCCCTATACCCCATGTAGCCAATACTGTGCACATCAATTTGGTTTACGCTGATTCATCTGGCAGCTCGATTAATATAGAAGGAAAATACAAAAAGTGGGACTTTGACCTCTTTAAGAATCAGGTGTTTCTCCACCCACAAGCTTACATAGTATCAAACCCAGTATTTGTACACCATTCAAATAAATATATATTTATAGGAAGCTCCAGCAGTCTTGGAGGCTGAAAAAGTTGCTCAACAGTTTTCCCAGTTACAGAGGTACTCCTATACTTTGCATTGCAACTGCAAAATGTGTTTTTTCTTTCGAAATCCTGGCCAGAATCCTGAGAAAACTCTGTCTTCATGGGTCAAATAATCAAATTTGACAGTAAAGACAGACATTGTCAATTTTTCAGACTCCCCAAGGTCATGTTTTGTTTCCTTAGGGGATTATAAGTATAATTTAGAGCACTAATTCTAGCTAGGTGACACATGAATAAGTTTGCTCCTTTGAACTGGCAAAACAGTGAAGTTAGGCAAGCAACCCAGACTCTGAGCTGCTTCCGATACGCAAGCCCATTACAATTTTCCAACTGAGGCACAACTGACAATACTCCTATTTCAAACCCACAAAGAAAAGCAAAATGTCATCAAGCATCTTCTGTGGATCCCATAGTATGGGTTGGAAACTATTATAATTAATATATAATTATACTAAAAGCAAGTGCCATTTAATACAGCAGAAATAAAAGCAGAATAAATAGTTCTAATACTCAGTAGTAATACATGAAAAAGCTCCTTCACAACAGCAGCAGACATTTGCTATTATAATTTAGATCAGATAGCAATTTAAGATATAAAAACTGCTTAAAAAATCTGTTATGTCCAATAATATGAAATTTTCATTGCCTAAAATGTACTTCAGCATTAAACACATTTTAGCAAAGATCAACACACATATTCTGTATTCTAACACAAACATTGTACAGATAACATTTAGAACACAGTAACATAATCAAAAGTAGTACGATATTCCACCTCTACAAAGCAGAAATAATCACATAAAAAGAGAATATTTGGCCAAAGTAAAACCTTTACTGCTTTGAGAATTTGCAAAATTAGCTTTAAAGAAGTTTGCATGAAGCTTGATTTTGAATGGCTTCTGTGAAATATGGGACAAGAAATCTTTATCTGCACTTCAATCTGCTATTAAACCTGTTCAGATTTAATATTGGAAACAAAATCTTCTTTTACCTAAATATTAGGAATTGGTTTTAAAGTTAAGAACCAACCCATTTCATCTGATTGCATTTATTAGTATCTCTCTCATCAATCACAAAGTGTAGAAGAGAATTGTCAAAAATAATGAAAAGCTATGCAACTACATACATAAATTCAGTATATCATTCATGCGACCTTTCCAAATTTCATATGGAGTGGAAAAAGGATAGCTATGATTTACAAACAAATTGAAGCAGCTCAGGTTTTTCTCTGTTAAGAGTGATCATCTTTTGTTTGGAGTTGTTTTTACATTTTACACATATTTACAAGAAGCCTCCTACTAACCTACCATCTGTACACTTTTTTCCAGTTCCTGAGGAATTGCAAATGTCGAAGAAGGAGCCTGAGTTAGAGGCCATGCACCAGCCTAAAGGTATCAAGAAAAATAAAAGTATTAACATTTTCATACAATATTTACATTAAGAAAAAAACCCAGCACTATTGAACACATCTATAGTGTATATTATGCTTTAGGACATTCAATTTAGACCAGAAGTTTTACTGCTCATTTTTTAATACTCATTATGCACACCCCACTGAGGTATTAACTCAAAACAAGAACACAAGGCATTTTACATCACTATTGTTTAGTGTGTTAGCAGGTTAATTTTAAAAAGAAAAAAACAGAAAATAAATTATTTCATAATGATCACAAGGTGTCAGTTTCCGTATGAGAAGTATTCATAGTTAGAAAAATTGTTCACTTGTTATCAAAACATAGGAATTAAGTACACATAACTCAATAGTAATAAAACATACATTAGTACCTGTAGAACATATATCTGAAAACTAATTCCCAAATCTATAATTGTGTCCTGGTTTTTGATAAAGTTGTTGAATTTGTTGTTGAGATCAGCACTAACACTCATGTCTGTATACATTCGATGGAGCTTGCTGGTAAATTCATAACCACAGGCTTGCTGTGAAGAAATATTGTTAACAGGTTTCACAGTGAAAACAGTACTTATTATATAAACTATGCACGTTCACTACTAAAATATTAAAATCTAGTCAGCAGAAACATTGTTATAATATTTACAGAGAACACTAGTTACAACAGAAAACAAACAATATGAAAGAAAATTATCAGATTTATCTTAGTTTCACTTTCTATACATTGATTTATATGAACAATGTTATTGTGTAAAACTGAAAGAGCTAGTTTATGAAAGTCCTTGGTACTTTTATAAGGTAAATACAAATTATTTGAACACACTTAATAAAAATACCCAAAACCTCATAAAAATCTCAAATGCCTATCTTATACTGGGCCATATATCTTTCGTAGACTACCTAGAAATTAAGTCTTTCCTTTCAGGTATTGGAAACAGGTTCTACTGATGGCTCAGTTATCTCTGGCACCCTCTGCTGCTCCCTCTCAACATTACATACTCCTATGTTTGCTTATTCTGCATTAGAAGAATATTACATTACCTTCAGTTTATTAATCATGGCTTCTTCAGAATCCATAGACATAGACAAACCATGAATTAATCTTTTTGCCAACATTCTGGCATAGAACTGCATAAAAAAAACCAGATATGAGCATTTTTAAAAGCATAACCACATTCTTCAGGTATACTTTAAATGCAGCATTTTAACATTTACTGGATATCAAAAGTTACCTTTTGGAATACATCTTTGTCATCAATGTATTTGAAAACAGTAATGAAACTTGTAAGTTTGTCTTCTACTTCATTCTCTGTCATTCCTTTTGCTGATTTCTTCAACAAGTTGTCACAGTACTTGGCCAGCTCAAGTTAAAAAAAGAAAAAAACAAACACAAACCTACTTGTCAAGCTTGAGAACAAATGTATGCCAAGGTATTCCAAACTTCTACACAAAAGTTAAGGCATGAAATCAGTCACAGTCTATAGCCTCACGTTCTATTACAAAGGGTGTATTCATAGGCGAACAATACATACTACATCCACAGCAAATACAAATTCTGAATCAAATATTACAGCTGCATCAATTTTACACACCCACAAAACGTGTATGCAGGTTAACTTATTTATTACTCCTGAAATACACATCTGAGGCTGCCTTAGTGTGAGAAATTGCTATTCATGTGATGGACCCTATGCCAATTCATTTCGCAGTTACAAAAAAGTATTATTACTTTCTACAATAATATATATCACTTACCAACTCAGGTGCTTTGCAGATTGACTTGGGCTCCCTATAGTTAACTACTGATGTCAAAGCCTACATAGCAAAGAGAAAAAATGTACATTTCTTAAAACTTTTTCATTCATGAAATTTGAAGAACTTGAAAAAATGTTCAGGGCAAAAACCATCCAAGACCCTATAAAACTGAACTACACAAAAGTGGACCAGAAAAGAAGCAATGAATGAAAGGGTTTGAATTGCTGCTCTGTGAGAATTTGTGTTTTGAACATTTTTACATTGAGATTTAAGTAAAAGTGGAAAGAATATAGGAACCGCAGTTATTTGCAGAAAGCAGAAGAACAAATTAAGCTCTGATTAGAAACTTAAATGGAAAAGCATGAACATTTCGGTATACAGCACTATGTATGGTCCAAAAGTATGGATCAAGAGCAGCTTACATCAACAGCATGGATCTTGAACTGAAAAACATAGATAGGGTGCTCACAACAGTAAGAAAGGAAAGATCTTTTGTTTGTTGGATTTTTTGACAGACTAAAAATAGACAAAAAATATTGTTGAAAGAGGAAATTCAAAGCAGTGCAATACAAAAAATATGGGAGCTGAAGAAAACCTGAATATAAGGAAAAAGAAAAGGAAGGAGATAATGGCAGTTTAGAATTGGAAATTATAAAAACAGTTATCAGGATCATCAATATTAGTTTCTACACTACGTATCACATTTAAATTAAATTTTAAACTACTAGTGAACCAAAAATATTGCACGACCAACGTTCCTAGGAATTATAGTTCCTTCTATGGAAGGAAAACATTATTTTTGTTATTACAAATAAGAATTTACAGCAACTCTTTTGTACAATGCCTCAACATTCCAATACTTGATAATAGGTCCCTAGAATCCCTGTGAGAAAGGAATGCATGACTTGACAAGAAATAGGAAACTCTTTGAAGTTTAGAGCACTCTTTTGCAATAATACTTGGAGGCAAAAATAGCAGTTTTGATACCCACGCTGAAAAACTGACAGCAGATTAAGATTTTAAATACTTATTGGGATAAAGACCACTGAAGTGAAGAACTGATGCATTTAAGGAAAAAGTACATTGCCTATGTGCCAGCAAATACAGTTGTCAATCTCTCATTACTCCACCTTCTGGTACATGACATTAATTGCAATTGAAACAAAAATGTATTAGGACACTGAAATAAATATTTGTTTTAAAATACTAACTAATTATTTTCTCAATATCACAAATACAGATGGGTAACAACTATTTATATTATTACTGGTATCCTCATCATTATGTCTTTCCAGATTAACCTTGGCTGAAATTTATCAAAGCTCACACTATCACCTTAACTACAAACTGCAATTCCTGTAAACACCACAAACGAGCAGTGAAATGTATGCATGCATCCTATGACAGGAAATTATAGACAGGAAAAAGATACAAGCATATATGGGAAAGAGCAGGAAATTAACAAATGAATTAGATAAAAAGTACTTTTTTGAGAAGCAATCACTCAACCCCTCAAGAGCCGTGGCATGTTTTGCAGAATTTAATAATAATGCTAATCATATAGTTATTAACAATACTAAATTATAGCAATTAGAACAGTTATCTTAAGTACCTTCATGGCTATGCATTTC